GGGGATGACATGCAGCAAAGGTTTTCAGGCTGGACTCAAATCTGGACCTCAGTCTTACCACATGGTATGGGATCTACCTGTGAGCTACCGGGGCACCCTGTTACCCAGTATATGTACAGTTGTTCTTCATTGAGCTGTTGAGGCAGCTTTTCTATAACTGTAGACCACCGCTGCTCCTGGTGTTTAACAGTAAAATCAATCACATCCTGCTGTACACTTTTTAGAAGTGAGTAAATATAGTGATATTCCTTTTTGTTTTGACTGAAATATTGTATTTAACAGCCAGAAGCTAGTTTGAATTTATTTCCCAATATTGTATGTCATCCAACCATTCATCTTTAAATGTTGTGATTTTTTATTTTCATTATAAACTGAAGTATAAAGTGTTCTTAAAGGCTTGAGAATGGTTCCTACTTATTAAGCTAAAAAAAACTATTTTAAAACCCATTGGAATTCGTGAAATGTACACTGATAAAGCTGAAAACAGGGTTGTTGTCTCTTTGGAGATTTGTGGTTTTGTTACTCAAACAATATTTAAGCAAAAACAAACTAAACCCACTTGTGCTTGAGAGGGACATTTTAGTAGCTTCCCTTACTACCACTGACCATGTTATTCAGAGGGAGTCACTGGGTCAATGAGTTTTTTCTTACATTAGAATCAGTAACACTGTGAAGAACGTTGCCAACTCCCCCAAACACACACTACGAAACCAATTGTGTGATTGTGTGTGCGTGTGTGTATGTGTATGTGTGCATACTGAACAAGATGTTCTGCACGGTGATAAGCTCTGTCAGTTCCACTAACCAAAATGTGGGTGAAAACAACGGCTGCGTGGGTACAAACTGATTCAAGCTTGATCCTCCCACATGTTATACCCTTTTGGTGAATCATATTTTTGGCTGTTAAATAGTAGTGTTGGCAGCTGGTGACATCCTGTATCCCTGAGGTAGCACACACATGTCTGGCTGTATCCTTCCACGGGGGCAGGGGATTGGGTCTCCATATTGTGTATAAAAAAAAAAACATATGTCAACCAAGAGGATTGACCACAATCACCTGCTCTTTGTGACAGGGCAGGCAATCGTCCAGAATGTAGGTCCATGTTTTGGAGAATAGGGGGTTGGTGTAATGATAGGTGAAGTGGAGAGGTGTGAGAAAATTTGGGAAGGTTGAACACCAGATGAGCAGAAATCCCCTCGCTGCAGAGATCTGGTTGCTGACCCAAGTGTTAAAAAACACAACAACTCATACATGTGGGCTTGTGATACACTCTCCACTGGCCACTGGTTGTGTGGTATTTTAATGCAGTTCAGGTGATGCAAACCATGACAGATTTTAGTGTGTGTGAATCACATACCAGTCCATCTACAGTGATGCTGGTGATGACAGCCCATTGGAAAGTCCCCAGGATGAGCATGGCCAGGGCCACGATGATGCCAACCTCTCCTGGTTTGTCCTCTGTAGAGGACATGCACACACACACACACAGAGTCATTTATATTGTCCAATCAAGGCTGCTCTCTCTGATGTCAGGACCAGCAGTCAGGTATTGCATCTCTGCTACTGGCTCTATTGGAAACTAATGAGACATGAAATTACCCTTCAATCTGCTCAAAACATAAACACAGGGTATGACACAACAACACGCGTTTGTTTGTCTGTACGTGTGTGTGTCCTTGTGTTTCCCATTCGTTTAATCGAACACACACATGCTTCCTTTTGTACATGACATTTTATCCAGTGGCATTCCAACAGTTTTCACAGACAAAATGTCTGTTATTATCCTGATATCTGACTCTACACACTGTAACACACAGATAAGACTGAAGCTTCTTCACTTGATAGGCCCGGTGGAAAATACTAAGGTGTTTACTAACTAACTAACTTACTGGAATTTCAAGAAGCTCCTTCGCCCTTCCTGGGATTTATGTGTACAAACTACTGCTGCCGCTCTCATTCTCTTAAAGGGTCCACTCACAGCCAAATAACAGTTATAGCATATTGTGTTATTTGGTAACGGTTTTTCTCAATCCTCAACCTAATGTATAAACCTTGTATGCAGTGTTCAAGGTATTAAACAAGCCTTTTATCGCCTGGGAATCCTGTAATCCATCATTAATTCATATATGCATACCGCCATCTGTCTACCCACAGTCACCCTGTCACTCACGGTTGGTTCCCACGGCGATGAAGGCAGCGGCGCTGAAGAACAGGACAAAGATCATGTCACAGCGGAAGAGGAACCATCGCAGTGTGGCCAGGTAGTGGAACCAGGTGGCTGTGTGAGTGTTCAGCGCCTTGTGGAACAGTGTCTCAAAGTAGGTCTGACGCCCAAACGCCCGAATTGTCCATAAACCCTTCAGCGAGATGATGAGGTGGGAGAAGATGGGGCTGCGAGCTGCAGGAGAGGAGATACACACATAATCTTACAATTTTTCTAAGGTTTGAGTGCACACGGTTTTAAGCTTTTAATATTTTGTAAGCTACTTTAAAATGATCAGTAATTGGTCTAACCAATAATAAGCAAGTGATGAGAGGTAAAATCAAGAGTTATAGGAATTTTCTGTTGCCACTGAAGGCCTACCAGTGTCAGATGGGAAAAAGAGACAGTACACCAAACAAATAGTAAATGTTGCTTAAATAGTCATGAAGATTTGAAAGGGAAAAAAGGCAAACAATAGATGAAAAGAAGTGATTAAGAAGAGTGGTCAATTGCCAGAAAAAAGCTGCTTATGAAGAGATTAAATTCTGCATGTGGCTTAGTAAGCAGAGAACACAAACACTGTCAAGGTACAGAGCTGACTCATTCATTCTACAGTTGTGTGAAATCATGGGTAGAGCTGAAACAAGTAGTTAACTATTTTGATAATCGATTAATCATTTCCACCTTCGATATATTGACTCATTCACTTGTAACTCTTTGATCTTAGATTTGGCAGTTGTAGTCATGTTATTTTTTATATCCCTTTGGGGCACACATTTCTTTCAGTAATGTAAATAAAACAATGCTGCCAAAAAGCGGAAACATTAAAATAAACATTTGAGTGACTAATTCACATAATTTCCACTTTATTTTATGTGACATGCTGCTTGTGATACCAGGATGGGGTTGGAGGAAATCCCAGCTCAGCTCTTCTGTCTGACCCTGCCATGCTCTCAGCGGCTCCGGAAAGACCCCGGCATCATCACCAAAACACACATTAATGCCACAGAGTTGCGAGCAGAACAGGGAAGTCACAGTAGCAGAGCAGCATTCACACTAGAAATGTGAAATGCTGTAGTAGAAAAATACAAACTAAGGAGAGGAGTTTATTGCTATTTCTTATTGTATTATTTATTGTGTTGTTCTATTTTTATCTCTGCGAAAACTCAATAAAAACTTAAGTGCGAAGTCAGCAATACACCTGTTTTCTCATCCTTTGGTTGTGCAGAACTGCACTGCACTGCTGGCTACCACTATGACCTCTTAACTGAAATCTAAATCAAGAGGAGGTTTTGGTGGTTTGAACTGTAGGAAACTGGTCAAAGCAGCTTCCATGCACCCTTTCTCATCACTGGCAGAGCAATTACAGCAGACAAACCATTTCTGCAACACACCACTGATAACAGGACTCCTACTTGGGGAGTATTGTACTTTAAGAGATTGTATTATACCCCTACAAACCCCATGATGTCATGTGGTCACTGATGTCATGAGGAGCTTAAACACTTAAAAGCTTTTAGAAATGTCTAAATTCCTTTCACATGGATACCAAACTCTTAGCTAATTGAAGGAACACGGTTATGTTATTCACCCTGCTTCACTTCCTTTAACTGTTCCCGCCCCTCTGCGGCAGCCCATCCATCCTCTCATTCAACCCTTCCTCTGTCATGTTTTTGTTATCCAGCCTGACTTTTGCCCCCCTTGGCCCTGCGCCATCCACCAGCTCTGCCTGCTGGATGACTGCAACATCTGCCCCAAAGTCCCGCTTCCTCTGCTCGCTCTGTTGGTTTTCCTATCATGTTCTCACTTTTACTCCTGAATATTTGAACTCTTGAAGATTTCTTCTGTGCCTCTTCTCCTCACACAATAAATTGTAAAATAAAAGAAATGTAAAAATTTATCTTCATGGGTAAATTCTCTTTCAACTAGATTAGCTGGTAGGATTTCAACCTGACATTTTATCCACAATGCAAATTGGAAACTGCATGCAAACTTTTATTGCATAGTATTGTAAGAAAGCATTTAGATTTTTACATTTACAAAAAAAACATTCTGTAGAACTCACCTTATGTACATACGTATATTATAAAGTATATCTAAATTGTTTCAGAATGCATTTTTAAATGACAATCCTAATCAATGTTTGAAATTTAAGAAGGCATTTGCTACATTTAATTAAATGTATCCATCAAGTGGCAGCTGATTTTTACATTTTGCCATATTTTGTTTGGATTTACATATTGCAAATGTATATTTTTCTCCTCTTTACTCAATACTTCCCACACAATGCTGTGATGAGAAGGAACATTTTCTTTGCTTGCCCTTTCTGGTACTTATTATGTTATTTCTCTTCACAACAACAAAACAGAGGCATTGCACTATTCCTACAATAGTAATGCAATGTCACACATACACAATTTCTCCCCGACTCTCACCTTCAGCCTCCAGGAGCTTGAGTTGCTGTCCAGTTCGTAAGAAATACTTTCTGAGGACAACAAAGATGACAGCCAATGGGATGGCAGCGAGGAAGATGTAAGGCCGCATGATTGACACAGTGAAGATGGCCCCCGTAACAATCAATGTCAGCTGGTGTGAGGAGAAAGAAAAATGAGGAGAATCAGAACTAAGCGTTTGTACTTACACTGATACATGTTTATAGTCCCAATAAAAACATTGAATCACTAGATTTGTTTCTTTCCTTTAAAAGTGTGAGAAGCGAAAAAAACAAGATAAACACAGCGGTCCTCGGTACAACCGACAAACCGATCTCGGACGAACAGCCTATAGACCGCCAAGGTCGGAGGCTGGTTAGTAGTCACCTAAACCACTGGTTGAGGAAGACCACCTGCGAGGCTAACCAGCGTGGCTGTAAGTTTTCACTTCTCGTTTAACAACAGCGAGGCGACGCCTGCTCCAAACTGTCCGAACACGACGCACACACCATTCACTCATTCAATGTTCATTTCCTCTACGATTTATGTTTTCCAAAAAGTTTTTCTGGCATTTTGTTGTAACGCCAATAAGAAACGCGCAGCCATTTTCTCACTTGAAGGTGCATTATGGGGGATTTTGCCACAGACCCAAGTGGAACTCATAGAACACATTCTGGATTGTTTATTTTTGAATGTCAAGATCAACTGCGAGTGACCATAGTAAGTCACGATGGCGTTTATGGTAAAATAATTCAGAAATTTATGTCTTTTAAACCTTACCAAATAAATCAACTACACAACGGGTCCTTTTTTGAGATTAATGAATATCTTTTTTTGATTTTTGTATTTGTACTTAAAATAATAAACTATTATAGATCAAATGCGGCCAAGACCATATGTAAAACGTTTTGAATATGCAGCTATGAAAGGATTTGGGAAGACAGTGAAATGAATTGATGCTCAGCGTTGAGTTAAACATTTTTTTGGTTAACGTTATGTGCAGCAGACCCGGATCATACATAGGTTTTCTTATGACCTGGAATGAACCACCATTGATATTGACTATTATTATTCCTTTGTAATACTATGTTACATTGCATTGTTGTATTTTGCATGCTCTAATGTTGATCAGATACTGAAAGCCTGTTAAATTGAGCGATATATTGCATACTGTGTTACGTCATCCATTGTGTTGTTTAAATACCTGTATGAGGTCAAACACCACCAGAGGCAGCATGTCATCTATGGTGGCCATGTCCTTAGTAAATCGGTTCATGATGCGGCCTGGAAGAAATCAGGAAAACTCATAGCATTGTAGTGAATGAGTATGTCAATTTGGCATTCAATATAGATAAACAGATGTGGTTCTACAAGTAGAAAAAAAAAGTAACCACGTTAATGCAAGGATATTGTACCATGACATTCATGACATTTGCATTTTCGGCTAGTTTTTTAATACAAAACAGAATCAGCGTTAAGAAAAACTAAGACTATCACCTGTCTTCATAGTGTTGAGCACAGCCATGGGTGCTCGTATTACAGCGCTAAGCATCTGTTCATGCAGTCTTTTGGACACAGTGAGTAATGTGTGCACTAGTGGGAGACCCCTGAAGAATCCCAAAGCCAGCACACTCTCCGATGTGGCCACGTAGATGTAGATAATGTAGTAAGCACTGGTCGGTGTGACAATGACTGCCAGGTGGACGGGGGTCGACGAAGCGTTGGGGTGCTGCTCATCGATGTAATTGGGTGATGATGGGTTGGCGCTGTCCCTCCAGATCGTGCTGGTCGAACAGAGCAAAGGATTGAGAATGAAACACAGACTGCAGTGTAGATCTATCGGTCATGAGACACCTACTAGAGTAAAAATCATAATAGGGAGCATAACAGTTCCCAAAAGGCTGAATGAGTGATATGCATGCATAATACGCAAAATAATATGTAGGAATGTTCAACTTATAAAATCCAACATTTAAAAGCACTCATTCGTCATAACGATTACCAGTTATTAATATTACATTTTACTTGGCTATTTAAACTTTTTTAATTAATTAATATAAATATATTTTATTGTTCAAAATAAAGTCTTTTGGTATAAGATTTACCACAAAACCACTATGCTGCATCAACTACAAAAAACAATCACTTTAGTCAACAAATACTTTTGTCAAATAAAAAAAGTTTAAATAACGGTTATTTATGTGGGCATCAAATACTGGAAATGCCGACACTTCAGTACAGGCTGAAATAACAACGACACTGATGTCTTTTGCTGTTTTAGTCTCAGTGTCTCTCAAGGAACATGAAACATGACACTTACTCTGTAATGAGGAAAATGCCAATGACTGAACCAGCAACCTATTGGTGGAAGAAAACAGAAACATTTGTTCTTATAAATAATCTTATAAATAAATAAATAAATAAAATAAAAATTGTAGTGATTTTAACCTCAATGATGAAGACAAAGACGATGAAAATTAGGACGTAGACTAAGCTCCTGTTGGTGGTGATGTAGCGTAGATAAGTGCTCCATGAGGTAGTTTCAAAGATGTTCTCACGTTCATCTGCAAAGCATTGCTGTGAAGAAAACAGAAATGTCACCATACAGACCCCACCTAAAATCAGCTACTCTGTATATCCAGCAAAGCCTTAATTGGAGACAAAATCAACTACATTTTGAGGGTATTAACAAGATCTTGAAAATGAGGGTAAAGAAAACAGATTCTTGGATGTGTAAACATAAAAATGTATCATGTACTCTAATATGCCTTGAAGAAGGCTCTAACAAATCTCTACCTCCATGTCTTCTTCATCCACTTCCTCACTAATATCATAAACGCTGTCCTTGGACAGGCGGCGGGCGTAAATGTCCAGCTCAGACGCCAGGTCGCACTGTGGTGTGATTGACAGCTTTTTCCTGAAGGAAGACTGTATCTGCTCTCGGCGCTCCTGGCCCTGAGAGTTGGTGATGAACGCCAGGACAGACTGGCGCCGCTGCCCATTGAGGTGCTGCAACCCATGATGGTACATATTCCCCCTGGGGAGCACCTCCTCTACTTGATCATCCTCAGGTACGACAGAGAATTTCCTTTCAGAAAGTTCACGAACCCCTTCCTCTATTGTCATGGACTGGGTAGTATTTGCAGTCTGTTGGGAGTTCCCGATGAAGGAGAATTTGCGAGCAGCTGCCAAGGGACTGAGGATGAGGGACTGTTTGCGTTTTTCTGGGTAGCCATCACCTCCAGGATGGCCTTGGGATCCGGAGACGGTTATTGGAGGTGGTGGCTGGCGGAACGACTGGCGAATTGGGTCTGGGCCTCGGAAGATGGCGGTTTCGTCAATGGATACCCTGCGTAGAGTTTCTGTGAGGATGGAGCTGCGTCGCTCTGCGTTGATGTTGTCATAAGCTTCCAGGCCGAGGAGGAGGGAGCTGAAGTCAGGCCGCTTGGCCTGCAGCTCTGAAAAGGTGCCGTAGAAGTAGCAGTCTCCGTTGTGCAGCAGGAGGATTTTGTCTGCTCGTTTGAGATGCTCCAACTTGCTGGTGACCACAATACGTGTCTTGGAGGCCATGAGTTTACAGACGCATCTGTGCAGTGATACAGAAAATGGAGATTGTAAAAAAAGAAATATATAAATATTATATATTATGTGTCAACTATTATATATTTCTCCAAGCTTTACTGTCAAACAAAAGAACTGCTGCTTATTTAAAAAAAAAGAACAAATCAAGTTTTCAAGGAAAAACCAGCACTCAAATTTAACAAGCTGCTGTATGTGCTTATTACCATGTTCAGAGTTTGACTACATAACAAAAATGTTCATTCAGCAATGATTTTTCCTGATTTTTCTCTTTGAAAGATTGCCAAAGTCCACATTTCATCAAAGGATAATTCCCTTTTCCCCCCGCCTTAAAAAAAAGCCCATTTCCTGTGAAGGTTACAGTATGATGAAGCACTCACTACTCACCACAGTCAACCCAAGGGTCTGACACAACAAGAGCTAACCTTGACCTTGAACTTAAACTTTAGCTCAACCACCCCCACCTCCTCAACATGAAAGACTCTCTGTTGGGATACCCACTTCTCAAAGATCTCTTTCTCTGTCACGATGTCCAGGTGGGTGAAAGGTGCATCCAGCAGGTAGAGGTCTGCATCTTTATACACAGCCCTGGGGTATAAAAACAGACATAGTGAGTCAGAGGGAAATGTGAAGAAAATGTATGAGAAAGTGTGAGAAATAATGACATGTGCTGAGAAAACTAAAAATGTCAGGGTAAGAGAAAAGAGAATATAAGAAAAACAGATGTAGTAAATGAGGAAGTCAGGTCCCTGTGGGGATAAATCACTTCCAGTGATTATAACACTGATTACACTGATAGCAGAAACCAAAAACCAAAAACCAACGAGTGGCGACAAATTGATGCCAGGACACCAAACCAATAAAATATGCATGGGAATATGAGAGTGTCTGACTGTTGTAATCTACACAAAGATTTAATGGAGTAATAAAGCTCTGCTGATGCTGTAGAAAACACTCATTAAAACATGAGACCATAAAGCAGTGTACTGCATGCAGACAGACAGATAAGAATGATAGGTAATGGTTGTTGGCTTTGGAAGGTGACGACTATTTACAGAAGAGGCTCGATCCTTTACACTGTTGGGAACCAACACTGAACCTTAAAACATTGCCAAAGACGTCAAATCAGAGATACTTATTATTTAATAGACGTTTTATTTGGGACCTCTTACCTTGGAAGTACTAGTACCGTAATGATAATATTGATAACACTGATTAGTTTATGGTTGATGTTTTGATTGTATTCATTGTGAGCTACAGTGCGTATGCAGACCTCTGATGTAGATAAAGGTTGCAGAAGTGAACATGTGTTGGGTTTTTTAAGGAAAAAAAATGTTGTTTGGTGTATTCTTCAGTCATTTATTTGAGCTGCTCCCTTTGATCCATGCACTGTGGAGCGACTGATATTCTGGCCCTTTGAACTCCTTCTTAAACTACAAAGGCAATTAAATTCCCATTTCTTATTGAACCATATCATATTGCAGATTCTATTCTTGATGATCTCTAAAAACAAACCCATACTTGCTGTATTTACCCTCCAGACCTCTTCATCAATTAGAAGTATGATTCAAATCTTAAAACATGTTCTATTTTTGTCCTCTGCACAACATGTTCCCATAATGGCTGGACAAAGGCCGTAATTATGACTAATCAGCAGAGGTGGTCTGGCATGCTGACAGATGCTCAGGTGTGACAGGAAGTACCTGGCCAGGCCAAGACGTGCCCTTTGACCACCGCTGAGGGTCACCCCTCCTTCCATGAGGTGCGTCTTGTCTTTCTCAGGCAGCAAGGCAAAGTCCTAGAGAGGAAAATGAGTGGTCAGCGGGTCAAACGCATCCATGCAATGATCACCTCTTATACAACAACAAGAGGGACTGTGTGACAGCAGAGAGCTTGACGAAAGGACAAAAACAGTGAGGACAGAGAAACCAGCTTTAAGAAATATCCCCCTCCATATCAGCCTGTATACTTGCTTTATTATGCTTGTAAATCAAAGTAAAACCGATCATCTTCTGCTTCTCAATTCAGTTCTTATTTCTTCAATTATGTTTTTACATGGTAAACAAGTTATTTAATCTTACCCCTTTTTACATTCATTGCACACTGTACTTAGTTTATTAGTTAAACGCTTAAAATTAAATAAACAGGTGCACTCCACTGTGCTAAATGCTACACTTACTGAAACTAGGTCAATGAGTTAACTCAAATGTATTCTACTCATTCTGATAACTTTGGAATAAAAACACAACATTAATATTAGGCCACTGGGACAAAGGTTGATGGTCTTGAATGTTCAAAACATGGATACGTCTAGCAGATGAAATGTAGCTGATGAAATGTTATGTTTGCAATATGCAAGGCTGGGACATTGAAACAGGAAAACTAAAGCTTTGTTTGTGTCTCATGCCACTTTTACCACTTGAATAGTTGAAGTGTGACATGTAGTCTTGAACTGTCCCCTTTGCACTGTATGAGGGCCTGTTGTCCTTGCACAGTCCTTGTGCAGAGTATCGCCCTACCTAACACCCTGCCCACCCCCAACTCTTTTAGGGGGCATAGTTTCTCAATGGAAAACACCAGTGGCAGCTTGAAACGGCACAGAATTTTGGCACCATGCAAGGAAAACACAGTTTTCACCAGAAAATTGAACCAAAAAACCAAAATGAAGAAATACACAATTGTTTCTGTATGGGCAATTGCTGTTTCCAGGGGCTGATCTAGAGGGGTGGCATGGGGTGCCACCCCTAAGAAATGCCTGCCCACCCTAGCTCCCAGTTTGGTGTCAAATGCTGTCAAATTTAACACATTGATTTAATAATGTGTTAAAAACGAGAAGTCATCATCTGTTATGATAACATTTTAGACTAAGTAATAGGCTTAAGTTCAATAAAAAAGTACACGTATTTGGAAAACTGTCTTAAGATTTGGATTTGCCACAATATTAAAATTAAATTAAAATGTCTTAATTTGGGCCTTTTCAAGCAAATATTGACATATGTGATTGTTTTCAATTGAATCAACATATATTTCTGCCACCCCCTAAAGTCTTAATGCCAACTCTGTCAATATTACTCCAGATCTGCCTCTGACTGTTTCAAGCACATTAAACATATTAAAACAAAATTTAGTGATCCTAATCAAATGTTTTACCAATATGCAAAAAAGATTTATTATTTTAAATAAATAACAAAAAAATTAACAAGACAGTACTATACATGACTTTTACCTAGTAATCAAAGTAATTCATGATCATAGGCAACAGATTTATTGTCAAAGTTCAAACCACACAAAAAGCACAAACCACAGATGGGATAGACACATGAGGGATGTCACAAGTAGAGACATATAGTTGTGTTTGGTGGTAATTAATAATGAAAATAGATGCCCACACCAATAAAGATGAAGTGACAGCACAAGTTTATCATCGTTAAAACGTCCTACCTTTTTAACGGCAGCTTCCGCTGTCCTGACAGGAGCGCATAGGGAATCAAGTTAACATGTTGTTTAACAGCTTGTTAAATAAGGCACCATAGTAAAAAGACATGTTGTGTGTCTCGCTGTGAACAAAAAGCACCTGACGTGCCAGCAGCTAGAGGCTGGGGGCAAAAGATGAGTTTACAGAGGGAAGACCACCCACCGCAGTCTGTCTGGTGCTTCAGGGGGCAACAATAGTGAGGAATTGCAGTCACAAGCCCACTAAACGCCTTGTCTCTGTCTGGAGAAATCTACTCTAGTTGTCACTCCTGTCTGACAGGGTTGCCTTGGGATTTTTTTTTCCTAGAGCAGAAAATACTGAGTAAACTTTCTCTCCTCTTCTTAAGAAATTTCTAGCCTATTGAAGTGATTGGTAAGACAATGCATTGAGAATTAATGTTCAGAATTTGTACTTTAAAAGCTACCGGTAACCTTCAAATGCTTTTATGCTATTTGGATTGGCTACTACAGAACTTGTGCTGCCTAGCATCTATTTATGATCAATTGAAAACTATTCAAATCATATATTCATATTTAAAGTAATTTGGCAGACACAGACAAGTGTTTTTTTCAAAGGCACAATTTGTGTGTTTGGTAAAAAAAACTTTCATCAAAAATCACTATCAAATTGATTTACAGGTTTTGCACAGGAAAGACTAAAACTATAATATATAAAATATATATGCATAATAACCTGAAAATAAGAATTATTATGTTTTCGTTAGCTTAGAATGAGCTGTTTTTATCTACAGAGGGAGCCGGTCCTATTCTACTTAGGCCGCCATGTTGAACCGCCATGTTTCTACAGGAGCCCAGAAAAGATAAACCAAACACTGGCTCTTGATACGGTCTTTCCCGAGTATCACAGACACCATAGTTTCTCCTACACACTTGGAAGGCTGAGCTGTATTCATATTATTGTAATCTGCAACTTCACCACTAGATGTCACTAAATCCTATAGCCAATTTAAGAGAGACATTAATATCTTAACATGGCTGGTAACCACAACTGACTACTTCAAACAATGCATCAGCCCCAACACTGTGTGAAGGTAAGCTACTTTTTAACACTGTGTCATTGTTAAAGGCTCTTTTAGCAACACTTCAGAGGCATAGTCTCTCCGGTTTGTCTGCCTCAACACCATCAGAAGCACACCAGTCATTCTTGTCATTTACACACAGTACAAAGCAGAGATGATGACACCTCTTCATGCTGCTTCTACCAGAGTTTGATGGTGGTAGTAAATAAATATGATGGTGGCACCCTCTGTGTATTTAAATTATCCACATAATTAGGAAATGTCACATGTGTGTCAGTATAAACTATATGTTTACATAAGTTACAAAAATTATTCAAAAATACTATGTCACTGTAATGTTCTATATTATCTAATCCTATATATTCACAGAAATAATGATTTTATTTTATACCCTATGACTATCAGATGTCATAATTTCTGAATTTGGGAAGTTGAAATTTAAATCTTTTATGTATATATATGTACAGCATGTTGGATTTTTTGTTTTTATTTACACACTGTATGTATTTTTATGTACTGTAAGTATCCATAAGTGTATATGTATGTACAGTATATGCAAAAATATTAAATAACTTCATCATAATAAACACCTACTTCACTTTTATGTATGTAACGTCATGTTTTTATGCTCATCAAAGTAAACAAATTTGATAATATAAGTTAATATTTAATCACAGACCTAACAAGCCCACAGAGCTGATGGTTTGTCCATACAGCTCGTCTGTGTTGCAACGTCTGTCACTGGGAACCAACAAGCTCATATTCCATCCCAGTGATATAACGAGAGATTTCCATGGCAACAGAGGAGACATTATTCTGCTGAGGGGCCATCACTCAACACCGAGGCTTATGAGAGTGCGAGTGTGTGTGTACGTGTATCAGTGTAAGAGGCAGAGAACGTGCAAGCATGTGTGTCTTTGTGTGTGTGAGGGACATAATGGGTGTAAATGTGGACTTGGGAAACCTGAGCAGAGGCTCCAAACAGACAACTGAGCAGAGAGCATCAGTCCAATGAAAGAGAAGAGGACTGGAAAAAATGAATTTACGAGAGATTGTTTGCAACTTAAGTAGCAATACATGTCGCTACTCTGTGTTGCTGATTTATAGTGACTCAACATATTCTCATTGACACTTGTTTGTACTTTTTCCATTGAGAACAGTGGCTGTGGTTAGCGTTGAGTAGAGATAAGTTTTCATGGTGGTACAAAAACTGTTACTATAGTGTGATCTACTTCCGTTGTTTTCCATATTCTTATTATGTTCCAAACACCCACATTTTCTGAAAGTACGGCTAAACATAGTTTGTATGTTTTGAACACTAACATGTTCCAAATGCTTGTGTTTTCAGCACAATATGGGTATTTTATGTTTGAGGCTTCCTGACCATATTGACTAGGTTGCTCAGTAAATTATCCTGCAGTGTTTTGAGAGGGTTGTGAACATTCCTACCTGGGTGAAAACATTGACCAAATGCACCTATTTACCACAAATCTTCTACTACTAAAGAAGTGCTTATGTTTGGAACAAACAGACGATCTGTGTAGTTTGCATGAGTAATAGCGCTCCAGGTTACACATACCTACATAAATCCACTTCATCTGCACGTCACAAGGTGTGAAGAAGCAGGGAGGGAAAAAATAAGGAATAATATGATAAAGTGAAGTTACCTCCTCCAGCTGGCAGGCCTTGATGACGGAGGTGTAGCGGTACTCGTCATAGGTCAGGCCGAACAAGATGTTGTCTCGTATCGTCCCCGGTATGATCCAGGAAGTCTGCGGTGAGAAGGAGATGCGGCCGCTGTGTCTGATTTTACCTTCTGAAGGCACCAACTCTCCCAGGATCATCATGAGCAGGGAGCTCTGGAAGAAACAGGGAAAAAACTGGTCACACTTTTTTCTGCTACATTTTTATTCTCAGGCAATATGATGTCGTAACAGCCTGCAATGAGTCAACATATACAACATGCCTTGCTTGAGGGCACTTTGACCAGTAGATGGATTCAGTAGCACTTGCCGATTCAGCATAGTCTTCATAAACACTCACAGTTGGATGAGATGATTTCTTTGACCTACCTTCCCTGAGCCAGTAGATCCAGCCACCGCCAGCATTTTTCCCTTCTCCAGGTACAGGCTGATGTTTTTGAGAACGGGTGTGATGTACAGGTTAGTGAAGAAGAGGCCGGCATCACCGTTCAGGTGTCCATTTGCTTTGTTCTCCTGCTTGATCTTCTCAAACAGCTCGCCAATGCCCTGCAGTTCAAAATCATTCTTCACTGTCTTGTACAAACTGAACGAACACCAAAGATGTATCCAGATACTGAAACAGTGTGCTAAAACATCCTTTACTATACTGCAGTTATACTGTTATATATTTATATAATAAACTATATGAGAGAACCCAAGGCATACAGTTTTTTTAATACATTTTCTTTTCAGAAGGTAGTTTAGTATAAGAAGAAGCTGAACTGGATTTCCTGTTTCAAGTCTATAACCTTGCAAGGCAGCTGGACTCGCTACAGAGGGGGGCACTAGGTGTGACACAGCAAGAAAACACTGTTCGTTAAACAAGAATGGAGGCTCCTACTCAGGTACGCATCAATATATCAGAACTGGAGAGTATTTCAAAGGACGCTTTTCTTGATGGAAAAAATGGTTCATTGATGTGATTGGTTTAAGTTTGCCTGCGATAGATGGTAATAGCTGGTCCATCCAATCACCTGCCGAGTATTTTTTGAATGCCTGCCCCTTTTCAGACAGTTTCCAATGACGACTTCCAAGATGGTTCTGCGTAACAAATCATTTGGCGAAATCAGATTAGCAAGTCTACACTGTTTAAAACAAACAGCTCAGAATATGCTTCCAGTAATAGTAATACGTAAAAGGGGAATAGTATTAAATGATCATATTAGCATAAGTTGATATTTAACCATTTCTCCATGTTATTTTTGTTTTTTCTTTTATGCACAAAAAATAATAATTTACAGTGTGTGCACTTCACATGACATTTTTATAATCAGAAATTCACACTTGATTTTTTATTACAGAGATACTAGCCTCAACTAGCCTCAACTATACTGTAGTTCGTTATACATAATATAATACTCCACTGTACTACAATATGCTATATTATTCTATATTCTACTATACTAGGGTACAGTGCCCCATGCTTTGGTGCTACAGTATACTTGTACAATATACTACACTATACTTTAAAATACTATTCCATACTATGCTTAAGTATCCATCATTCTGTGTTTGTAAGTGTGCATGGCATGTCGTTAATTATTGTTTTTCATTTAGTTTACATAACTGCCTGCTTCAGGGCTAAATGAGTGTGTCTGTCATGCTGTGCCTTCAGACAGTAGCACCAGGTCAAACTGCTGTGAGAAACAAGAGATTCTCCGAAGACAGAAGAAGAATCCAAAGTCTTACAATGGCCTCATTTCACCTCATCTGTCACCGCCTCTGTAAAGATTAACGGTTGCACATCTCACTGTTAGAAAAGGGGAACTCTGCTTGACTCGCCAGCTTAATGATCGACCCCTGTGACATTTTATGGGTCACCGTTCCTCTAATGCCGGGACTTGCTGTGGTTTGTATACGTTTGTCCGTGTGATTCTCATTCTAATGAACTGACGTACGTGCTGTCAGCAGTAAAGAAAGGCAACACCCCTCCCATTCATCTGCGAATGGCACATTCCAGGAAGAGGAGAAGGCAAGAGGAGAATCTGGGAATTAGGTGATGAACAACTCTGAATCTCAAAGGGGAATCAGAGTGTTCCCAGCAAAGGCAAAGTATGGTGACGACACTGGGATAATTAATTATGCAAAGTGACGGAAAAAAACACAGTTGGACGATGGTTTTCTCACGGTATTGGGTGGTCAATGAATCACACCTGTTAGACTAAGTTTACAGCCCCTGCCTATAGATAAGATTATACTACCCACTCACAGTGATGGCGAGGAATTAACCATTATACCTGTAATGCATGATGGATTTAGGAGTTGTGGGAGTTTTAACATGCCTTGCTCTCTTACAGTAAATGTACTAGCCTGTTCAATACTGGATTTTTACCAATACCAATATTGACATTTGTAGGTCAGATAACGATTTCCTTTTATTATTTTTAATATGTTACAGTACTCTCAGTTGGACAAACATATATTGCATTTGTATAAGACAGAGGGATCAGTTTCCAAGGTGTTTTTAGCAGGATTGCACCCTAAGCCACCCATATCAGAGGGTATGATGTGAGCATGGCACCTAAATAAAAACCCGTAAGACTTTTGTTTGCTGTCAAGAGATCCAAGGAGGCTATATTTCCTTCTTGATATAAAATCCTATCAAGCCACACTGAGATTTGGGAATGTTAGTGTTTTTGTGTGTTTAGGCAGTAATGTTCTCAACTGGTACATACAGTACTTTGTATAACTGCTGAGTGACACTAACATTCAGTTTTGGCACACAGTGATGAACAAACCTCGTCCCAAGATGCAGACACGTTGACCAGCTCCACTTCAGTGGTGGTTAGGTTGTATTCCAGCACTCTGTATTCTTCCTTCATCAGGAATTCCTAATGAAAACAAAACACAGGCAGGTACATCAGTATTAAATATACATTAATTATGTACTGCTCAATTGTTATAAGCTGTTGGAAGCCATATTTAATCTGTTGATGGTCATTTCTAGCAGGCACACCCCCTTTAGAAACCTACCTCGATCTTCTTGACCAGTGCGAGCGTGTCATACCACATCTGGATGGATCCTGGCAGCTGGCGGGTCAGTGTCATACGCAGCACCATGCAGTAGGAGGCTGTGGTGAAGATACGGCGCAGGATGATTCCTTTACTGAGTGCGTGTGGTACAATGGCAGACACAATGACCAAGATGGCGGAAAAGAAGTACGAGGCGCTGTAGAAATAACGCAGAGAACCAATCTTCCTTGTCAGCGTCATCTCGTCCCTGAGGAGGTTGGGAAAGTGAAAAACATTGTCATTCAGGTCATATTATTGATTTCAGTGATTTCGTACAGACTTAATGCCTGAATTCTCAGACTTAGAGGAATTGTCTTTTGCTTTCAAAGAAAAACCAACACCCAAAAAGATTTTGGTTAACAGCATGTTAGTTTTTCATGCTGCTATTATTAATTAAATGTGACGTCTTGGTGGCTCTGTGTTATTTCTGATACTTATCAACATATTTCTGCACCATGACACCAAAACTCTGATTCTGGCACTGACAGCCACCAGTGCGGCCAGCATGGCGCTGCTGGTTGACCACATGTTTTAACATCTCTCTCTCAGTTTTAGCACAAGGTTGATTCCATTTCTACTGTGTAGTCAAAGCCTTTTGAAAGTGACGTCGGCTGACTCTTTTTCCTGCTCAGTCCCATCTATTAAAGTACATATAGTTAAGTCTATATATCTATCTATATCACCAATACACAGATAGTATATGAAAAGATACTAGAGAGATGGATGACTTAAAAGATAAGGAGTTGTACACAGTATGCAGACTTACGTATGACCAGAGCAATGCTTCAAATCTCAACACTGCAATCAATGGTGAGAAAACTATGTTTCTTTCCTTCAACAGTGCTATTAAAATGGCCTTGAACCTACTAATATTCTACATTAGGATGCTTTAAGACCTCCTGTTACTTTTTCATTATTTTAAATAACCAGCAGATACATTCTTGCAGTCAGCATGAAGCAAACATGACGAAACTATTCTAAACTTGGGTATTATAACAATAGAAAATAGCAGTAAGAAATGTTCCCTTTGTTATGTGTTTTGGTCTCTTACTGTCTGATGTTCTTGATGATGGTCTCCATCACGTCCTCCCAACCATATGCCTTCACAGAGTGGATGTTCTCCACAATCTCTGAGGTGAGAGCCAGGCGGCGGTTGATCATCCCTGCACGCTTCACCCTGTTTACAGGATACAGTTTTTTTTTACCAACTTATGGCAGCATCATATATGCATAGAAGTGGAATTCTGTATGTCCACCTTATATATACTGTCAATGATGTACACACTGAGACATATGTAAATAAAGATACACAGGTAAGTGTACACACACACACACATACAGAGGTTACATATACTGACACTGATATATGTTCTATACTATGAGACGATGTGTGGTTTGCTCACCGGTGTGGTCCCATCTTCTGGCTGAGCCAAGCCTGGATGATGCCTAGCAGAGTCAAAGCTGCCAGAGCACAAAAGCCGTTCACCTCGATCAGCTCCCAGATCAGACCCACACACAATATACACTGCAGAGGGGTGATCCATACAAAGTGGGCCAGACCCAAGCTCTGAAATAAACATACACAGTACACAGAGATGACATTAGTGTACATTGGGTACACATTGGCATATGGCTTGATTGCAGGAGCAATACTGGAGATGTTGTTTTGCTCCTGACCACAAAGAGGTCAAAGATCAGATTCAAGGAATACTATCATCCACTCAAATACATACTTCGCCATATTTTTGTGAAAACATGCAGGTTGGGTATAGTAAAGCAAGTGGATTATGCTATGCTAGACTATTAGATAATGTCTGGCACCTAAATGTGAGGTGTATAATTATACTACTTCAATTGCAAAGTTTCTATGGAAAATGTAATACTTTACTTTGCTGCTGAATTGGGTCACCATCAGAATAATTTGTAACTGCTGTGAATCCAAGCTGACTAAAGGACTCCGTATGCAAGACTAAAACATTCTGTATGAGTATTACTTTAAAAATGTCAAATATTTGAACCTGGTCCTACTGTAAAGGTAAAGCCCTCTCAACCACTGTGGCACACATTCAGCTACACCTTTATTTACCTCAGTGAGGTCAGAGTGTAGGGTAAACCAGATAGCATTTTGGCAAGATTACTTAATGTAAATTCTCCATTCCCTACACATATTTGAATTAATTAATGTATTATTACAATGACTGACACCAACACAGAATTAGTCAAGAAATAAATAAATATAGAAGAGTGAATGTATCAAACAAACTTTATGTTTTGAGGAATTCTTTCATCTAGACATTTGAGCCTCAGCTGTACTGTAAGTGAGAAACTCTCAGCTGTCACCTGAATAAGCTCCTATCCATCCACTCACTTACAAGGGAATCAACTCAAACACACACACACATGAAAAGCCTAGGTAACCCCAACTAGTCATTATTAGGAGAGAGCGGTGCATTGGCCAAGCCACATCCAAGCCAGGTGATAATTGTCTCAAAGCAGGTTGCAGAGTGTTTCCAAATTCAACGCCTCAGTGAGACCCAAGGCGAGATTGAGTTCAATCTACACACACACACACACACACACCTACACAAGCTATGTTGTCTTGCATAGCATTTTGTTTTTCAACACTGATTTACAATTACAGAATACTTTGTTTAGGTACACACACCTAATTGTGTGTATTTGCATGGTATATATATGTGTGTGTATTGTTCCAGATCTATTGTCATGTAATTGACCCTCAGTATGAAGGTGTGGGGTAATGAAACAGACACACTGAAGTCAGTGAGGGTGTGAACTGTCAATCCTCTTGTGCCTCATCCTACCTGTGGAGACAAAGACTTTCTCCCAGCTACTTATGAGTGGAAAACTACTGTATTGTTCCTTTGATTTAAAGATCCAGTGTGTGACATGTAGAAGGATCTATTGGCAGAAATTAAATATAATATTCATATGTATGTTTTAATCTGTGTATAATCACCTGAATATAGGAATCGTTATGTTTCTTTTACCTTAGAATGAGCCTTTTATATCTACAGATATGGAGTCTGCCATGTTTCGACAGCCTAGAAGGGACAAACCCAACACTGGCACTAGACAGTGTACGAGAGGTACCTTGCATTTTGATTTGGATTTGGAGCACAGACGTTGCCAGATTAGTGGTTTGTGGGATAGTAAAATGAAAAAAGAAACCTGATTTAAAAGTTGAAGTAGACAAAATACTTTGGGTTTCTCACCTCATCCAGCTTGTTGAGGTGGGCGGACATCAGACTGACCAGCTGACCAGTGCTGATCTTGTCCAAGACTCGACTGGACAGCTTAAGGGTCTGAAAAGGTCAAAGGTTAGGGTCAGTTGAAGCAGAAAGGGTGAAAGTGAATTGGTTGAGAGGAAGTCAGTGACATGTGGCCATGATTTGACACCAGGCTGCCACGCCCCTCTCAGCTGCCTGTGGATCATCACTATTGGACTTCCTCATATGAGATGCTTTCTGGTCACGAATGCTAAACAAGCATTCAGCTGATTATTCTGTCAAATCTTAAAAACACTGGAAAGTAAAAAGCAGACAAATGCTCACATGCAACTGTCTTACCATCTTATCAGTTGGGTGGTTTTGTTTTGTTCCAACAACTGGTTGTTCCAGCAGTGACTTTAAGTAGCGAGTGTTTCATTCACGTATAATCAGAGAAAAAGGCCCACAGTGCC